AGAGACTGCTACAGTAGTACAAGTGTACATACACACATGCACATGTGTGAATGAAAACACACCCACCCACCGACCTACCGACCTAGTTGGTCTTCCTTGTCGACATACCTACATACCTGCCTACATATATATATATATATACATATATATATATATATATATATATATATATGTGTGTGTGTAGCATGCGCATACACACAGACACGCACGCGCACACACACACATACACACGCACACACATGTTGCACCAGTGGTTCATCTACGATCTGTCCGCTGTGTCTGCCTCGCTCCGTCTCGTTGTCTTTCTAGCTTCTCCTTCCTTTCCTCAATGCAATACAAAACAAAGCCGCGAGGCATGTACAAATTCAGCGAACTCCTGAAATCGCATGTACTTACTCTACACATGTTTTCTCACAGGCCTTGCCTGAGTTACGACTGAACTGTGCACCAGGATGTAACCAACAGTGAACAGGAAGATGCAGCCCATGCCTACGGTCTTGTGTGAAGCCGCTTGTTGTGACAGTTGCAATAGGGCATTGCCCAAGGCGGCACAAGCGAGTCCCCTGCAAGGACATCTGACTCGTCCTCTGCTTCCTGGCAGCAGGCACCATCAAACGAGATTGAAGACACTAGCGATCTCAAACACAGGATCTAATGAACCGAGCTGATAACCAGCGTCTGGTTCCCCTTACCTCAAAACACATTTCGTAAAGGATTTCGCGGTGTGGCGCCTGGCCGATCATCATCATCCACCCATCACAGTCCAACCACCGCATCCGTCATGTGTAACACTGCCGCCCGCGGGAGCCATCTGAATTATCGGCATCCTCCTCTTCTTCAGCATTCATCACCATGGCCATCGCCAACAGCACCAGAATCATCGCCGTCACCATCGTCACCGCGGTCATTTTCTTCTTCATCATCATCAGCTGCGGCAAAACCAATTCACCATCATGTTCTCAACTGTTTCCCGCCTCGTCCTCCTCAAAGCGGCCCTCGTTGGATCCGGCAATACCTTCGGGAACAACGCCCCCACGAGGTGTTGCAGCCCTGGCCGGTGGAAATCTGAGAGGCTTAGGTTGGGCCTGAAAAGTGGCTCAGGGGTTTAAGGCCTGAGATTTCTGGGCAGGGGGTCTAGGTCGCGAAACGGCCTCTGCGAATGAACAATGGAGTAGATTGGACTGTGGACCAAGCTGACAATGGCAGCGGGCCAATAAGAGGATTAGCTAAGACTGAGTCTTTTCTTGTTTGTTTTTTTGTTTTGTTTATTTGGGGTAATGCAGTGCATGTACAAAAACCGTATGTGTATATATCTAAATCATTAATATAACAATAGATAAGTATATACACATATAGAAATTGAATATACACCTAAATATAGATGAATGTATGTATGTGTGTATGTATATATATATACACACGTAGATACGTAGCACGGAGTCCTCAGGGTTAGCCTTAACAGCCCGTTACGCCTGGTATCATCAGGCTGATACACCGGTTTGTTGAGGTTCCTGCGCCCTCAAAACCCTAGACGGTTTAGGGTTTAGGGTAGACCCTGTACCAAGAACCAGAATTTCTTGCCAGGCCTGAACAGCTGAGCGAGGATATGTTCTTTGTTTAAGGCCCCCGTGGAATGGCGTGAACTTACTGAGGCTGATCTTTATGATACAACACACGATATGGTGTAACAGCAAAGTATAAGAAGCAATTTGTATCTATCTATCTATATATATATATATGCGTATATGTACACATTCACTGCATAAGCTGCACATAGCCCATAATATCTAAGATCTGACCGTTTCCAGGCACTCAAGTGGCCTGAACGCCTTCTCGGAGTCGCAAAGAAGGAACTCCGGGAGCTCCTTCCAAAGCTTTGGAATTCACAGAAAGGTCGTATTTCAGGGCTCCTTTTGAGGGTTTAGGAGAACAAGGGTTCGGGAGCTATGTGTATGTATGTATATATATATATATGTATATATATATACATAAATATATACAAGGGTACCATAGGGGGTCTTTAGGGGCTCTTCTACCGGGCTTCTTCAACCACAGCTTGGGCTTCGAGCACAATCTTGGACATGTAAGTAGTCGTGGAGGCTGACCAAGGATCATGCTTCGGGCTTCAATGTGTGGGTTCGAGTTTGTCAACAATTGCATGTGTTTTTGAGGACATTTGCGGGATTTAGGGAGTATAGCATAGGGTTCAGGAGCAATAAGCTTGAGTTTAAACCCGACCCCACATGAACGGACCCGGCCGTCCTGCTTGTCTGACAGCTCAGCCCCTCAGCACAAGTGTGCAATCCACCTACGAATTTGAGGATTCTATTGCGGTTCTATAGTGATCTACACATGTGTGTGGGGTTTTCGGAGCACGGGGCTTAATGAGTGCGTTGTGAGCGCTGCGAGGCATCAACAACCTTGTCCGGCAGAAGATCTAATCAGGAATGGTTCGCAAAGGCTGCGCGAGTTTGGTTCAGCAGTGAAAACAGCTTGTGCCGTCTCATGAGAGCGGCACTCGTCGTCTGCAATAAGCATTTCACCGCCAGGGCAAAACAAACGTCCAGCCATCTTGCCCCAATGATCGAGACCTATAACCATGGGCCACCATGGCAAACATGACCCCGAGCAATGTGAGCAACGTCCAACCGTTCCTTTGCACAGCTTGAAGACTTCAACACGTTTTGAAGCAAGTGCACTCACATATCATGGTCCCTTGTTGCGTCCCTAATATAATACAGCACCTACTATTTAGGGATCCAAAGAATCCTCACGCCTCCTTTGCCCAAGGCCCAGAGCCCCGAAGCTGAGTCCCAGGCTCAACTCCGAAACCCACTCCGCGGCTTTTGGGCCGTAGAGCTTGAGCCTGGCAAGGCCCCTAACTTGGAGGTTCATGGGACTTAGTAAGTAAGGTTATAAGTACCTTAATTGGGGTTATAAGTATAGTTACCCTAAATAACCCTAGTTACTACTGGTAAGTCCCATGATCCTTTAAGTAACGGCCGTTAATGCGTCTGCGTGGATCTTACATGACATGGCTGTCTGTAGGTACGCGTAAGTGTCAGCGTTTTGTATACCGGGTATAGGGATGGATGACACATGGACGGATGGACGGACGGAGGGATGGAGGATGATGGATGGATGGATGGATGGATGGATGGACGGACGGACGGACGGACGGAGGGATGGACGGAGGGATGGATGGATGGATGGATGGATGAAGGGATGAATGGGTGGATGCAATAGAAACATGTTGCAATTATCATGATGTGAAGAATCTGCTTGCTCATGGAAAAACGCGCATACCGACCAAACACTCTGTCGGTAGCCAAACAGCACATACATGCATTTGTTATTACAAGTGGGACCAGATAAGTTGTCCTTTCAACGGGACATTATAATGACAGGTCTGACAGAGGAACTGTCGCACTTCATCTCAAGACTCAAGCCAGATCCCGGCAGAAATCCGCGAGGCTTGCTTTCGCTTGGTCCTCTGCGGTAGGAGCCGCTGCACCTTGGCTTCGACATCTTGCTCTGAAAATGGAACAGGCCGGGCTACGAACGCCTTTCTGGGATATATTATTTACATAATACGTGTATGTATGTCTATATATATATATATATATATATATGGGTATACACATGTATATATATATATATATATATATAATGGGCCAACTTCAGCCGCCTCTTTTCTCTGCTCCGATCCAAGCACATCTTGCCCGCTCAGCGTTTGCAGCTCTGGACTGCATGTGTGTTCTCCACACTGAGATACGGCCTCACCAGCACTGGCTTGCCCCCTCGGGGCCCTGATCTCATTCGCCAAGTTGTTGCCAAGCAGGTTCGCCTTGTTCTCAAATCCCCTAGCTGGATCACCCATGAAACAACGGCTGATCTATATGCCAGGCACCGTCTCCAAGATCCTATTGCTCAGCTGTCAAAACAGCTGCAATCACGTCGGACTCGTCCCGCCCTCAGCATAGAAGCCTTCGATACCCCTGAACGCCTGCGGTGGAACGCTGTTCTTCCTGCGTCTTTCGTGTCTAATCTGAATGACTCTACGTCTTTTGCCACGCAGAATTTGCAAAATCCGCAGACGACTTCTCACTGCAGCCTCATGGATGTTTCGGGCATCGTTACGCGTACCTATGCATGCCCACACTGTCCGCAAACTTTTCCCACTCTGATTGCCCTTCGTACCCACTGCACCAAATCACATGGGCCACCGTCTGACCAAGGTGTTGCTCCTCCTGCTGAGTCTGCTGATGTGCGCGACTCAGCCCAGACTGTGGTACCACCCGGTACGGCGGCTGCCGCCTCGCTCCCTTCAACCAGTGAGAGTGTTCCTCACCTTCGGCCTCCTTCACAGCAACAGCTACGTGCACGCTTCATGCACCTTGCTAAGGATGGCATGCCCCATTGTACCCTGTGCAACAGGAAGTTTGCTGCCTGGCCACCCTTTCTGAACCATCATTACACAAACTCCTGTCCGGCTCAGGTCCACGACGACTCTCTGGTTAAGAATCCTGCCGCGCCTGCCGCCTCCTCTTCCGCCTCGGCCGCAAACCCTGCTTCTAGTGCTGATCATTCCGTACTCCCTGCCGTCCCACCCACGCAGGCTGCCTCCTCCTCTCCCACGGCCACCCCCTCGGATGCACTGCCGCTTCTTCAACGACCCGCCATCCGTGCTTTGGCTTTGCAGGACGACTGGCAGCTTCTGGCTCGCCAACTTCGCTCCATGCACACCGGCCAAGGGCTGCGACACTGCCCTGTTTGTCATCAGTGGTTCACTCGCACACAAGACATTTTTCGTCATCTGAAGCGTCAGCACCCGCTCCCTGCGATTCTTGAGTCCCTTCGTGCTGACTGGCTCACAGCGCGCACAGCAGCAGCCCGCTCTCCCTGTAGCTGGTGCAGGCTCACGGTCTCCTTCAAGACCCAACACGTTGCCGCGTGCCCTGTTCTGCAGCAGACTATCACCCTTCGTCTTCTCGTTCAGCATGAGCTTGGCATCCTCGCAAGCTCTGGGCAGCGGTCTCTCTCTCCAGGAGGCACAGAGGCAGGAGGCTCAGGCGGAGCTACAGCTTCTCCAGTGTTGGGGCGAGGGAGCCATGGAGCTGGATGCGGCGAACAAGCGTCACGAGATGGAGGATGCAGCGGATCCAGAGCCGGAGCGGGACACGAAATGGGCCAGACCGGAATCCAAGGGTGGTTTCGGCCGCGGCGGGCGAGGCAAGGGCAATCAACAGGGACAGCCCAAGCATCCGGGCCCTCGTCGACAGCCGATACGCCGATCGACAGAAGCCGACACCAAAGCCCCGGAAGGTATGATGTGGCTGCTGGGCAAACTTCTTCTACGCCACGAGGACCAAATGGGAATAGACAGGACTCAGAACGGCTTCGTCATGTTCTTCAAGAGGGAGAGTGCTCTATCCCTGGTCCCTCTCTTCGTGCAGAAGTCTCAGCATTGGCACGCCCTGAAAGAGCAGAAGCAGGAGAAGATGGACGAGATTGCACTGCCTCTGAGATCATTCTTATTCCACACCATGCTGGAGACCCTCGTGAAACGCATCAGGGACACTGTGTAGAACGAGGAGCAGCTGAAGACAGCCACCACCCTACAGGTGTTCTTGCCGAAGGAGGGCGATCGGGAGCTTCGCATACCGTTCTTGAGTTACAACCCGGAGACCAAAGCTCTGGTGCCCCGTCAGGATCAGGAGCCCATCTTCGTCTCCACGATGCTCGAGAAGCTGCAACTCCTTCAAAAGCAATGCCTCTGTCCTCTGGCTATCATGCGCTTCCACTCTACCCAGCGCCTCAACGGTCAGCTCCAGGGACCCACTGTCCCCTTCCTTCTCCAGGTGGGGTTTCGATCGCCGGAAGCAGCCGAGCTCCATCTGAGCCTCCGATCACTGGCCAACTCAGCGATCTGGCAGCTAGTGGGCGGATCCTTGCGTCCAGAGAAGATGGGCCGCTCAGCCCTGGCAACCGAGCTTGCTCGCCGCTTGCAAGGGTCCTACACTCAGACAGCCTGTTCCATCAATCACCCCAGCTGCTCCGTATTGTCAATGCCTCTAACCATTGTTACGCCAACTCAGTGCTGTGCTGTCTCTACTGGGCTAATCAGTTGCTGTGCTCTGGCGCCGCCTGTCCTCAGGTGATCTGGTCCGAGGCCATGCATTCGGTTGTGCGGCGAATGACTACACAGGCGCCTGTCCCGGACCTCTGGTCTTTCCTCCCATGGTCGCTCATGCACTCTCGATGGGCTCGACCTCACTTCCAGCGTGATGTTGCGGAATACCTTGTCTTTTGCCGCAGGTTCGTCATTCCAGACCTGCTCACGGGCAGGTGGCAGAATCGGCTTCTGCTCACTGACTGCAATCCCCCACGATGTCAGGTGCGCGACTGTGGGGACGCATGGCCTATGCTGCTGGCTAAGCCTCCTTCTCAGTGTGATGTCGGAGCCAGTGGACGGGTCACAATCCAGCGGCTTATCCATGCTTGGCAGGATCATTCTGCTGGATGCACTGCTATGGACAATGAGACGAGCCTCCTGACTCTACAGGTAAACCGATTTTGTCCTTCGGATGTCTCGGATACCGGCACAAAGGACAATACCATCATCGTACCTGATCCTCGCATCATGATTCCCTGCTTCCAACATCCTCCTACACCGCACGACTCTACCTTGCGTGTGAGGCATCATGAATACCAGCTGATTGCCATCATAATGCACGAGGGTCCTGATGCCGCTTCCGGGCACTACCGTGCACTCCTTTGCACTTACCCTCCTGACTCGGTGCCCGTTTACTGGCAATGCGACGATGCAAAAGAACCGACAGTCCATTCTGAGCTCTCCTTGCAAGCTCTGACGACGGGGTATCTTTATTTCTACTGCCGCACCGTGCAGCCTGAGCATGTCTAGGACGTTCATGGGCCATTCGTGGCAGGTCCTACGACTTCGCTCTGGTTGCCAGCACGTTTCCCACTGACGTGTGCAAAGCACATGGCTCACAGCAGCCGGGGTGGCTCCCTGTCATAACAGCCTCGCCAAGCGGACTTCTTCTGCAGCGTATGAAAGAAAGTGATAGCAGTGGTGGATCCTCGAGGTGCACAGCACTTCGAAGTCTGTCCGACCCGAGTGCCCTTAACAAATCGCCAGCGGCTCCGCTGCAAGACCCCCTCACCGCCAACTGCAACAGACAGTGGGATCTCAAGCAGGTAAGACGGGCCTTGGCCGTCCGCAGCTATGACCTACGATCTATCTCGCAACCACTCTGGACGGAAAAGACAAGGCTCCACAACCAAAGCAAAGCTTGATTGTGGAATGCACAAGCATGAATCACAGAGAGATGTATGTGTATGTGTGTGTGTGTGTGTTTGTGTGTATATGTGCTTGTTCCTTCGACTTCAACATCGAGACTTCCGGCTAAGCAACAAACACTGCAACCTGAGCCCTGCACAGTGCCTCCCCTCAACTCCTACACACGTGCATTGAAGCACTTTCGCCACCTACCCGCGTCCGAGACCCTGGCCAGGGTATATCCATGATGAACCAAGGAACCGGTCCCTTCGGCTGGAATGGCGGACAGACTGGTGTTTTTTGCATTCAGACGGAGTTTGGGTGCGGAGTGAAGACAAGCATTGGCAAAAGGACTTGCATGCACGAGGTCGGGCATAGCATAGCTGCATAGCTGTTCAGCTTGATACATGAAAGTCATGCGTATCCTCGCAAGCGGCATGAAGCTCGTCAGAGGCCAAGACTAATTCCAGCACCCCAAACAGCTATGCAGTCACACATGCCAGAGCCTACATCAGCAAGCACATCCTCACATCGTCTTCCTGCTCTGAACGCGAGCAAGTCTGAGCTCTATCGGATGTGAGCCGGGTGGCTGATGATGAAGACTTTCCGCACGGTCTCCGGATAGTTCCCATCGAAGACCTGCGGCCCAACTCCGCCGTCGTTAAAAACTGCACGAACGAAATCATGCGGATACGACTACTAAGGAACATCTGCGAAGCAACGACACTGAGCGAAGAGAAACACAAGCAGGAAGCTTTCGCGGTCTTTGAAAGGTCATGCTTTGATCTTGGTGCTCGTGTTGCCTTTTCAAGGGAGTGCGCTTTGGGGATGGTCCTTCTGTATCACTGTATAGGTCTTCGGCTCGTCCTCGGCTAATTCAGGATTCCCCTTCGGGTTTACACCCTCAGGGCTTCAAGCTCCTGTGGGTGGAGGGCTTACAGAAACGGAGGCTCTGGAAGACTGGTCTACGCGCCTTGTAGATGTCTGGGCCCAAGCGCAAATTGTTCCACATCCGTCCCGTCCTTCCGACACAAACGCAAGGGCACTCTTAAACGAACTGGTGGCTTGTTGGATGGTTTAGGCGACATTGGCCGTTTTGTCCTCGAGTGTTGTTACGAGGCTGTGAAGAGCAGAGATCGCAATGCACCAAGTGTCTTCATGCGTCTTCCTAGCCGCAGCCCGACCTTGAAGCCTTGAAGGACACCGACTCCCAAGCCATCACACATCTCACGCTTCGCAAACGCCGCGAACAAATTGTGCAAACCCAGATGCCCGGTCCAGTTGGGTACATCTCCATAGTCCCCGACGTCAAGGATTTGGATCTGACCACGAATCCTCGCGAGCTCAGGGCCTGTAGAACATGGCCTTAGGAACCTTATGTTCAACAGCAGCTGCAGGGCAGGGCTTTCACGTGGGCATTGAGTCTAGCAATGTTGAGCCTCATCCTTGTGCACCCCACAATACAAAGCCTTGAACCCCTAACCAAGAACGTGCGAAGAACAAACCCAAGAAAAAGCCTTCCCTCAGCCAATGGTGCATACTCAGAGTGCCGTTCAAGCTTACATTATATATATATATATACATACCTTCGAAGACAGCTTTACCATTCCATTGCTTTCTCCAAGTTGCAGCTTGCGGCAGCGGAACATGGCATTCCGGATCTGCTCATGTGTCCACTCCAACTTCGACAAACCTGGCTTGAAATTGGTGCCATGATTCGTCAATCTACTCTGCACTACACTACAGTACTGCTTTTGCAACTAGGCCCTACAATTGAGATGCCATGACCTTCAACTCAGCATCTGCAGCGCTGCTTTTCACGTTTCGTCTTCAAGCCGCTGAGCGCCGTACTGTCCACGAGGATGGCTTCCTGTCCGAACTCTCGAATCATTCCGGCCTGGGTCACACGGCTGCAGCGGGCTGCAGGGCACACAGAGGATATGGGGTAAGGGGTTCCATGCGGGTCTATAGGAATCAATTTACAGGCGGGGGGGGGGGGAGGGCGAGTCAAGGGGACCTTTACCGGGGCTGATTGGTCAATACAGTGTCTCGATGCAAAATCTTTCGCAGAACCCTTCAAGGCACCAATCAGTCGTCCCAAAAACCGGAGAGTGTGCCGACACGGGCTACAAGCACCATGTAAGTCTGTGTCTTTTACTTGTTGGTAACGCTTAGGCTCCGCGGACCCGGAATCAAGAGCTGGGCTCCGGATGCAAGCCTTCATCGATGACTTGTGCTGCGCTTTCATCCGCCCAGGATGTCAGCTCGAGAATGTGCGCCGATTTGGGACAGGGACGGACAGGAAAATCACCATTATCAGTCGAAGTGGCGCTGTCTGCAACGCCCAGGCGAAGTAACCTGGCTTTAGGGATTTGAAAGTTGGGGTGAGGGGGCGGTTGGGGTACCTGAGCTGCCTCTTTTCTCGCCCGACCCAGAAAACACAGCAGTCGTTTCACAACCCCATCATTTCTGCACAGTCTCGTGTGTACCAAAGTCGGGTATGCACGCACGCCAGCGCCGGTATGCTACAGACATGTACATGCACCCAGCCGGCCGTTGTCTTAAACGTAGATCTTTAACACAAGCAAGCTGCAGAACAATCTCAACATCCACGCATGCCCCCGGGGCAAGGCACCTCACCGGAATGCCGTGCTTGTCGTTGCCTGGGACTGCTCTGACTGCTTCGACTTTCAAAGACTCTTCATCGTCTTCATCTAGTTGTGCACCTGAACCCTCATCCAACAGCCGGGCTCTGGAGACGCACCGGGATCCGCAGGAGGCTAAGTTCTACTGTAGGATCTCTTTAGACTACTCTCACCATACATTATGTCGTAAAGCTCTGAGAGTCGGACAGATCTGCTCCTCGATCGCGAAGCGTTTGCAAAGCCGAGCACGCCTAGTCCCTTGGGGATTCGCACAAGCAGACCTACTTTGTTCTAGGGTGGGATATGAGGCTCGGGGTTTCCGAGCTATACTCAGAGGTTGCTGACCCGTCTCTCTTGAACAGCCAACACCGTCACTGCACATAAGTTGTTGAGGAAAACAGGCATGTCTTCAACTTGTGTCACGTCTTATGGCCCTTTAGTCGGAGCTGTTGAACCAAGAAATGCACCCTGACCATGTTCTTGAAAGGGCATGGCCAGGCATTTCGCAGCATTGTCAGTCACATTCCCAGTCGGTGGCGGTCGCTGAGGTGCAGGCGATGTCTCTCCAGCTCCCGCCTCCAGCTGTGTACCTTTTGGCCGCTGCTTTCACTAAGTCGCCTACTCGCAACCTTAAGATGTAGGAAGAGACTTAGAGCAGGGTGCTGGCAACCTCGTGACCTCATGACGGGGCGACCCCGAACCCTCGTGGATCGAGCCGGATTATTTTTGTCTTCTGCACGTGCTTTTTGTTTGGTGCTTTCTGGGGGCAAATGGCAAAAGTGTCAAAAAGACCAGCTGAAGCTGTCGCCTTAAACCAGGAGCGACAACGGACAGATGTGCTCAAGTGGACCATGAAGCCCCTTCCGCTGTTTCCGACCAGGTCGCTAACATTCGTTTACTGTAGTTGACTCCTCCCACCCTGCACCTAGCCTTGCCATCGACGTCGAAGGTGTGGCGCCACTCCAGCATATCACGGAACATTCTTTCTGCCTCTGCGGGGTGACATGCGGGACTGTCTTGATTCTCGGGAACTGCGGTACCATCGCTGTTGACTGCTACTGCCATTGACATCAAAAAGAATCAGATCCAGACAGTGCCTGAAGGCATTGAACATAGCATACCTAGAGACCCAAAGCCCACAGAAGCATGACCGACGGCAGGTCTCTGGCTGGGCCTTAAGCACGTCGCCGTCCCGCGCTCGAAGGAAGCGCAAAAGAGTCTGTGCCTGATGGCAAAAGCCGCTGTAGCACTTGCTCCAGCTTCAAGTCGCAACCATAGACCCAACCCCCAGCTTCGGCCAGCCAGCCAACACCGAACACATCATACTGCAATCGCGCCTGACGATGCAGAGGCTTCCGTCGGCAGGTGGGATGCAACTGGCACACTCAAAGCGTCTCGCACTCACAACGGGATGTAAGGCGATTGCCGTCGGCATGTATCCTTTCTACAAAGAGGCTCTTCCTCTTTAACATCTTTAACAGCAAAGCCAAGCTGCTTCTGCGTGCTTTCAGACACAAGTGCGCACTTCAGACACTTCTTCTGCGGCTCTGGTGTCCAAGCAGGTTTCAGGCTTTGGCCCCCCAGAAACGAGTACAACGAGCCAAGTTTCAGGTCTGGACTTACACGGGCTTCACGGGGGGGGTGCCACAAGGCCGTTGTCCGTAGCAGGGTTTCACACGATTAGTAGGCGAGTCGGTGTGGGTGTTTCGAAGTAGAAATCAGTGCCGCCGAGAGTCTCCACGACCATCTCTCGCACACTTTTTCTTTCCGAAATGCTTGCCCTTGCAGCCCGTTCTGAGTGGCCCGGAAAATTCTCTGCCTTTGCCAGAATCTGAAGTCTCAACCCGCGGCTGCACATACTCCAACCTGCAAGGCAAGAGCACAAACCAACCCGGCAAGCAGGAGACCTCGCAGTCCTGTAGAACCTGATGGAGCCTGAAAGGAATGTGAAGCTGTGGTGTTGATGTCTGCAGGGGAATTCGGCATCATTCGGGCTTTGTTTCTAGTGGGATTTCATATGGCCCCTTTCGACCAAAGTTTGTAGACGACTTCTGCGAATAAACGCTTCCTAACCAGGACTGACACGAAGCCATCCTGGGCAATCCGTATTGGCGCCAGACCACAAACCATGACCAACACAAGGACTTGCTGTCCCAGAACCCCAACTGTGCAGCATCGACTAAGCGCACCGCTCCCGAAGCTTGAAAAGCTCGTCCTGTGGCCATGACATGCTTGCCAGGCATTTTTTGTCAGGCAAGAAGCCCTGTGCAGCCACATTTTCTGTTAGCTGCGGAGCTTCCGCATCTCAACATGATCTTTGCAAGCGACCTGACTGCACATGCACCTATCTATGTATATACATATATACGGATGTCTATAAACATAAACCAATAAGCACATATTTGTAGCAAATATGCGCACAGAAACTAGTTGTTAAGTGGCTCGGTGATACTGACAGGTCCGTGAAAGCCTCGTCGATACTGTCGGCCACGATGGACCTTTTCACACGCGGCAAGGCTGACGGTTCAGAGCTGTGGGTTGCAAGCTACCCACTTGGAGGTTCATGGGTAGTTATAAGTAGGGTTATAAGTAGGGTAACTATACTTATAACCCATATTAGGGGACTTATAACCCCACTTATAACTACCCATGAACCTCCAAGCAGGTCATCAGCCCCACGCTCCAGCACCTAAACTTGAGGCGGAGGCCACTCAAGCTCGTGCTCCGGATCATGGGGGACGCGGCTGGACATGCGATCCTCAGAAGAGGGCTTCGCACCGTGCCATATCGCGGTTCGCATGTTGTTGAAGCAGATGACACTTGTGGCGGCCCAAAATCTGTACGAGCTATCTTCATTACTCTCTTCTATTCGAACATTACATATCCAGCATCGGCCTGGCCGACATTTGCAGTACACACACACACACACACACCCCTGCCTCAAGCCTAAACTCAATTTTACCCTGAAAGTCTTTCCAAACAGGAAGCCCTACAGGCCCTAGCCTCCATGAGCGATCCAACTCCAGGTCCTACCGGCTCTTTAGCAGGAAGCTGAGCTCGCAACCCAAGAGGGTGACATGGCTGCACCCCTGCAGTTTACAGTGCAATCGCAAGACGAAGAACGAAGATGCATGCTTACTGCAATACAGACAGTTTTGGGTCTGGTCGTGGTCATGGTACCTGCGCCGGCGTAAGTGAACGTCAAGGCTCCTCCTCACCCGTGAAAACGCCCCTTTTAAAACATCAGCCTGCTCGCCCTGAAGTGGCCCAGGCAAGCTACTCGGATGACAACTCAGAGCTGGAGCTGGCACAAGTGGCAAAGTAACTTTGAGCCTCAAATCCTCAACAGCCCTGAATCTCCCAGGCGAAGAGGGGAATTCGCGATCCCTGAGCCGGGGCTGCTGCGGCGTCGGTGACACCGTGCTGGGTGTCAGTGGCCCTGTTGGCAAGTTGGGAGTCGTGGTCGTCGAGATCAGCGCTTGGGAGCTAGCTGTACGAGTACCTGAGTACATATGCTATAAAGAATACGCGCATGTAAAGTTGTACTTATACTTCCATGTACTCGTTCATTTGTTCAAACACACATTCATCCGATTCACATGTATGGCATGTCCGGAAGTTGAGACTTCACACAAGCATGACTTCTACTTAGATCCCCAAAACCTCCAAGCCCTGGATGCCAAAATAGTCCTGGACCCCAAACACCTAATCAACAAGCTAGATAACCTCTGCTGCCAGCCTTGGTTGAGCCAGTCACCAGACAGCTCTGTCTTTATTTCGCCTCACTCGCACAGGCAGGACGAACACTGCATTTCAAGCATGGCAGGAAGAGCAGCAACTCGGGTGGCTCCGGACGACACGAACTAGAGATGGATACACATGGCAAGTAATTACGATGTATCCATGAAAACATGCATCTATAGTTCAATCGCTGCATGGGCCCACAAGTGCTGGCAAATGTAGGCACGGATATTCATTCAACAAAGAGTACAGCATTTTTTGCACATTTGCACGGATAAGTACATGAGTGCGTCCATATGTACATAGGTGCATGCATGGGTACATACACACAACACGATACATATATGCATCCGATATGTGCATACACGCACACTTATCCGTTCAAGCAGTTGTGTGTAGGCGTGTGTGTGTGTGTGTATATAAATATCTGTATATATACATATATTTAGACCTAGTCACAACAGGACAAGTTTGTAGCTGTGTGGGTGTCGAAAAAATAAGCATATCAACGAATATGTATGTATACGTATATATATATATATATATACACACACATACATGCACAGATGTATGTGTGTACATATATACATACATATATATATATATATATATACACATACATATATACAGGTGTAACTTTATATGTTTATACACACAGACATACACGTACATAAAGTCATATATATATATATATATGTATATACATATGTATATATATATATATACATATATATATATATATATGAGAGAATATACACAAACACAGTGTTCTGGGTATTGATTGCATGCAGAGGCACAGATTCGCGTCTCGACCTCATGAATGGACCTATATTTCTTAAGTGCATGTGTACAGGAATACGTGGGTATATGGAAGTAAGCATTTGCATGTATAGTGCATACTTTACATGCCTCCATACTTAGCTACATGGTTACATACTTACGCACAGGCAAACACATATCATACCATGCCATACCAGACATGCATACGTATAAGCATACATGCATACATATAATCATACATACAGGCATACATACGTATATAAGTATGTACATACCTATGTACACATATGCAAGACCTTACACACACATATAATTACTGGCTTGTACATTTGTTTGTTACTTTTATGGGTTCATACTGTATATATACATATATATATATACACACATATATATATATATATGCATATATATATGTATATATATATATATATATATATACGCATATATATATATATATATGTGTGTATATACACAGCACACATGTGGAACACGTGACAGCAGGCAATCAGGCTCACAGTATCAGGCTTGGTCCTGGCTCTTTGGCTGTCTGCTTCCCGGGGCTTCTCAGTCCCTGGCATGGTTTTCGCAGCCTGGCATGTCAGGCTTTTGGGAGTCAGGCCTTGGAAATGGGATCTGAGGTTGAGGTTTTTGGGTATGCTGGCATTACGTTCTTGCAACTACTTGCAGGTATGATCTGAGTGCAACGCGGGCGGGGTCTTGCAGGCATTTCTTGTGTTCTGGATGGTCTGATGAAGTCAGTGGCGCCGGTGCTGTTTGCATGGCCGTTTCAACAATACTTTCACCGACAAATCGTATCGAACCGCCCGCTCCCGCACCCAACCGAACCGAAGCATTTCGGACCGCACCAAACCGATCTCTTCCTCCCGCCTCCCACCTCCCTTAGGGGAGGGTGGCGCTGGGTGGGGGGTGGGAGGTGGGACGTGAGAGGCGAGAGGTAGGTGGCTGGGAGGTGCGGCGGGAGGTGGGAGGTGGGAGGAGGGTGGTGGGAGGTGGGAGCTCAGGTGTGATAGCAGCGGAGCCGAGGAAAGCGGGAGGTGTGGGTGGCACCGAACCGGACCGGACCGACAGGCGAATCCCCGAAGGAAACCGAAGACAACACCAACCGTACGCGCTAAATCAGAAATCATGAACTTACCAGGAGCTGTCTGTCAGGCGTTAGCTTTGTATGTGCGCTTGCTCGCAAGGCCACACAAGGGATCCCAAACTCTCAGAGACTCTATGCATAAGGCTTACGTCTGAATCTCCCGACTATCCTCCAACGGATCTCCAGCTTCAGGATCATATCCTCTACAATACTTTTTGGTGGTAGAAGCAGAGCGCTATGGGCTCGGTTGAAATATGTCTACTGCAAACCAAGGCTTGCACTAAAGCGACAGTCAAACGACGCCATCGTAAATGCCATCAGCAACTGGCATCCGAATGTCGCTTGTCTAATCCAACCAACACAGCTCTGTTCAAGACGCACAGCCCTAACCCCTAAACTCCAGAACTTAAAACTCCAATACTTAAGGTTGGGGGCTTATCGTCACCACTCGGTCTTGGTCTCATCCAGCATCTGAAGCAAAACTCAACTCCTTTGCCTGTGGGCTTCGCAGCAGCTTGCCGCGCCCATAGCTCGTCACAGCACAAAAGAACTCAAATGCTACGCGGCTTGAAGAAGGTTTCACGGGGTTTCAGCTTGCTTGGGCTCGGGGTCTTACTAAAAGGCCTGGGAAGTCGCTTGTCGGAGCACAAGTTTACACTCTGTTGGCTCGATGCTGGATGAGACTATGATGGTTGGCCAAACTGCCCGGACGAGAAGGCCGGTTCCGGGTCGTGGGGGCTATATAATATAAAGCTGTTGGGCCAGCTGCCACTCTTGAGCACGATCAAGGTCGAGCAAAATCCTCTCATAGGGTCGTATTGCGAAGACGTCCGTGCTTGCATCATGTGTATAACACTACCAGACACTGTATGTGGCCGAGATACAACAGCAGACAACTATGTACTAAACTAAACTAGATCAGACACCCAACCTTGACAGGAACCCCTGTGCTAGAAAAAACCTCATAGAAGTCCTTGCCGGAAAGGGAAATGCCTTGGGCCGCCGGATCTCCCGAAGAGCGAAGAAGCCCGTGGCCACCATGGACACCGCGCAGGCCAGGCCCACGGAAAGCCAAATGCGACCTTGATGCGATGCGTTTCGCGTGACTTTACCTCCGACCCGAAATGTGCACTGTATTTCTACGTCCACCTCTCCCGCTCTCTGCACAAATCTGCATACGTATAGCAATATGTTCAGCGGTTCATACTTAGAAACGTCACTGCTGGCACATACTGTACGAGCTCAATGAGCTGAAGGTCCCTGAAAGACTAAGGCACTCTTGGTGCCAGTGGGTTGTCGGTAGGGGAACAATCCTATAGACTATAGAGCTCGATGTATGATATGAGTTGCTCAGGGTTTCAAATTCAGGATAGAGCTTTTGGGCTGTCCACCCAAAGCGGGGCTGAAGCTGCTGGCGTGGTATATAAAGGACCTGAGAGGGCCTATAGACAGTACGGTTGAAGCATCTGTTCTAGAACTGAACGCACTGGAAAGCTGCGATGTACATGGATTGCAGTGAAAAGGAACACTGCGACCATGCTACAGACTGCAAGGACTTGCTGGACCCCGCAGTTATCAGTTCTACAAGGCAACCGCTGTTCAGTAGGGGTCTGAGTTTCTCTTTTGCACGAGCACTGCATAAGGTCACGAAGCTACCGCCGCCCAAAGCGGAGTCCGTTGCTGGGCTCGAGCATCCTGGGCCGTGCTAGGTGTAGGTGGAAGAAAACAACGAAAAGAGGAGTCGTGACGACCTCCTCCCCCTCCTCCTCCGCACCATCATCATCATCATCATCATCTGCATCATCTGCATCATCTGTCAGCAGCATCGACGTAACAAGACCACACACCCAGAGGTCTTTGGCAGCTTTCTACCGAGCTCAGAACCCTCAGCATGGCAAAGGTTTCGATAACAGTCCAGTCTGCAATCGGTTCTCCAGATCTTGCGAAAAGAACGCCTGAACCCGTGCTGAACCATGAGAGCCTCAGCTGCATTCTTAGACAGGTCCCAAGATCCATTCCACGGACGAGTCCGGCGTCAACCGGGCAGAGAGCATCTGCTGAAAGACTGCGCGTAGGCCTCCAAATTCTAAGGCGCCAAGCAACAGGAGGAAGCCAATAGCATAGGTGAGATTTGGGTTTATAAGGCAGTGGCGGGTTTCGGTTCCTTTACACATTAATTCGTCCCACTGCACGACGCCCAGCCTGATCTGGAAACCGACAGACGAGTCTCAATCCTCTGATCTCACCAACGGGGTGTTGGGCGGGTTTGGTGGTCTAACGGACATATGTACTACGTTTTAGATACTCGAGTCTGCAAGCTTGGTGGATCAAACTTTGGACCTGAAGGGTTTCCGGTCGAGCTTGAGACTTTGGGACGGTTGGGGGATGACTTTGGGTTCAGAGTGTCTGCCCTGACTGACCGGGACCGAGATTGGCCATCGCGCACCCCGGCCCGATGCACCGCATGCGCCTTTGCGAAATTGGAATCGTCCAAAAATAGTGCATGCTGCAGGAAGATTGCTAGGACACGAAGCAAGGCAATTTCAGAGAGTCGCAAAGCCGGCTATTGCTACTAGGAATGCAACCGCGCTCGTAAGACCACATCAAGTGCTGCCTCGAAAGTCTCGCAGGCGGGTGAGCTCCGTCAGAATCGGAGTGAAGGTGACCTGACGTGGTTTGATGCTTGCTCGCCACAATCGACACAGGGATCTGATCCATGTGGTTCGGGGCAGCATGCAGTCTGCCCAAAGTGCATTGCGCAGAAACCAGGACCCCATTTTCCTAAAGTATCTTATTCTGTGCAAAGCTGCGTTGCCGACGTCTTGAACTCCAGAACATTGAACAAAGAAGGAGCGCATGATCCGCATCGATATAGCTCGTACAGTACATGCACATTTCAAGCATGTAAAACACATTTTAGATGTGCACATTTATATATGTAACATGTATATACTTACATACACACACACACACACGAACAAACATATTGTGTTTGTGCGCAGGCGCCTTTTGAAGCATATAATGAAAATACATAAGTAAACAAACTGGAGAAATAGACTGACCAATGCATGACACACACACACACACACTTTTGCCATTAACGCGCCAACAAACTACTAAAAATAACAGCTACTAAGTGAATGGATGAGAACTGAATAATAAATAGATTAATGCCTGATTGAAAAACTAAGGCATACAAGAATACATGTAAGTGTAACTGCAGGCACATGAAAAAGAAGTACAAACATACATACTTAGTATGCTTGTACACATGATCGCGTGCACACACACACAGAGTCTTCGTCTCTCTATCCGTCTATCTACCTACCTACCTATCTGTCTATATGATATACCCACATATATCCCTTTGTACGTGCATACATACATGCAGATAATTGCAGGTTCATGGGTGTTATAAGTGCCGTTCGCAACCTTTCAACCATAATTATAAACCCTGTTAGCGGACATACAATCCCACTAATCCTCCGAGCACCTGTGTGCGGAACAAATACCAGTAGCGGAGAAACGTAATGGCATACGATTCCTCGTCAGCCAGGGGTCTGTGTCGGGAGCCAGCTGCTGCCCGCTCATCTGCTTGAGAAGCCCACGCGCAGAGTTCAGAGATCCAGCTCGACAGTGGGCGCTGATCACAGCCTTGTAGTAGGGGCCACTTTAAGGGTGGAATAATTCTACAGGTTCTGTACGGGAACCAATTATAAGCGTTCTAGAGGGCTTGGGGGTTTAAGGCGTCTGTGGGTTGCGGTGAGGTCTCTGGGTTTGGAGTTCGCGTCTGGTGCTTTGGGGTTTAGAGTTGCGGGAAAGGCATCTTTGGAGTTTCAGGTGCTGCGAAGCTCCAGAACGGGAAACCCGCGGCGAACTTGTACGGCCCGGGCTTCTCTTTCACGAAACATATGTATATCGTCCGTTTTCAAAGTCCAATCAAACACTTCGAGGTCGAATCCCGTGAGAACCGGGGCGCGTTGTAGGTGATCGTCGTGGGCTTCACGTGCTCGGCCATCCGATTTAAAAGCTCATCGGCCTAGCGGAGTCTTGGCAGACAAGGCCTTCGGGAGCTAGCTTACTCATAGGCCCAAAGTAGTTCCTTTCAGGGGCTCATATGTAGAATCCTATAGGGCAATCCCAAAAAGGAACTACTATGGGGCCCATGGGTAAGGCTTGGATTGAAAGGATGTCTGCTTATGTGAGGCTGTACCTCCAACAATCCACGCCCCACAGCATACCGACTCTGTAGCAGTAAATGTCTTGGCTGGGCCCAGCCTCGCGCGCAAGGCCCTGGCGGGCGAAAGCATCCTTTGGTTTGCTCGAGAGGAACAATGAGCTCAGTCCGCTTGTATTGTTAGCATTATTAACATTGTTCGTAATACTAACACCGTTATTACAATTACTATTATCAGTACATTATTATGATTATTACTAGCATTATGATTATTGTTATTATTATTATTATTACTACTATTATTATTATTATTCTTCTTATTATTCTTCTTAGTCTTATTATTTTTATTACTGGTATCATGAGACCTGCAACGGCAACTTGGAGGCAGGAGGCCATCACACAGTTGAAGCTGATGACATCCGGAGATGGCCCCTCCTGTGCTGCGGCTATTGTCTTCATGCCTGGTTGCAGCAGCACTAGCGCGCGACACTGTAGCTCAGGCAAGTGTCTCTTTGTAAGGGACCGCTAGGTCCGCTAGGTGCAAACTGCAAGCTGCAAGTGACCCGCAGAATGAGTATGCTAGGTACCGGAAAGCCCAACAAACGGCTCGCATAGTGTCTGGCTCCTGAAGGAGATATTCAAGGTAGCGTCGTGCCCCACTCACATCACCCTTCCGCGAGAAGGCGTGGATCAACCTCACGAACAAAGAAGGCTTTCGGGTTTGGGTCAGTTTAAAACTTCTAGGCTGTAGTGCTAGTAAAACAACAACAGCATCGTCACGGAATGCTTCAGCTTGTTTGATAATTATCCGCTGTGATCGCTTGCATGCCCTTGGAAGGCGAAAGTGGTTGCCCTGCCGGGACCGTGAAGACTTCCTTGGGTACTTTAGGAATTCGGCATTCCCTGTTCATTCTATTACCCTCATAGGGCGCTTGCAAAAGGTAAATCCTGCAAGAAATCGGCCCGGAGTGAGGGGTTATGCTTGAGAAGATCGCAACAAGGTTTCAAACGCGATTGCCATGTCGTCCAGTGCATCTCATGTCATCACGGCTGTCGATGCAAATACGATGCAACATGGGAGAAGTACCTGGGCAACATAGCTGCAGGCGATCGTCAGAGTCCGAAAGCAATGACATATCTTACAACCGCCAACCAATAGCCACAGTTCAAAGTGAAAAAGAAGCTAACACATACAGGGGCTTTCTCGCGATTCTGCAGAATGCTGAGAAGTGGCGTGTTGTAGGATACCAGGTCCGGTTGCCTCGGGTGGCGGGACGGGAGCTTCTTTGCATGGCGGCGACTCCGTGCATCAAGCCCGTCTTGCGAGAACATAGCTAACGTGGAAGCCGAG